GATGATGGTGGTGTTGGTGATGATGATGATGACAATGCTGATAATTATGCTGATGATCATGATGATGGCGGTGTTGGTGTTTATGATGATGATGATGATGATGATGATGATGATGATGATGATGATGATGATGAGGAGGAGGAGGAGGAGGAGGAGGAGGAGGAGGAGGAGGCGGAGGAGGAGGAGATACATGAGGATGCATCCGAGCGCACTAGGGTCCGTTTTGTGAGCAAGGCCACGCGCTTTCTAACTCTCCTGCCGTGTGGCGCTTGCGGGCACAGCTGCAAGCGCGGCGGCTGCACTGCACTCCTCCACGGCCATGCCGTGGGTGGCCGCCCGCACGAATCGGGTCAGTCCGTCGCGCCCAGCGTGGGCGCGGGTAAACAGTCCGCTGCCAATCTTGGCGATGTTTTCTCGCCGTTTCCTGGTGATTCCCATGCAGGGCGCGACACGATGGCGTGGGTCCTGCGTACCCGTCTTGCCGCATTCACGGCACAAGTACATACAGTACTTCTGCATGTAGTGTAGCTTGTGGGAGGAGTGCAGCTCGCGCCCGCAGATGGTAGCGGTGCCCTGTACTGGCACCACTTGATCGCTGGCCGCAGGCTGCGGCGGCTTGTGATGGCAGGGCGTCGCGCATGCCTGCCGCACTGTCCACAGGTCTGTAGGGAGCCCACAACGTGTGCACAGGTACTTGCCTGCGCGGAGCTCGAAGGACTGCTGGCTCGACTGCATGGCTAGCTGAAGCTTTGTGAGACGTGGGCCTTTGGCCTGCGAGGGTCGCTCCGCGACCCAGGGGTCAACTGCAAGCGTGTCTGCAAGCGCCCTGCGCGCCCTCCTGCGGATTGGGGCGCACTGGGCGTCATGCAGGTCCGTGGGAGGCGCCTGGCCTACGTGAGCTGCCTCGTAGGAGACTCGGGCGGCTACGCCTGCCCACGCGTCAGCCGCTGCGCTGCCGACCGTGTGGAAGTAGCGGACGGGGTCCGAAGCCAGGCCAGGTGCTCCCTCGCTGTGTGAGGGCACCCAGGTCACCTCTAGCTTGCTGCTGCCACGAGTGCGCATTGCTCTGGCAATGCGCGCCCGCAAATCAATGTTCGCGCCTTCGCTGGGGCGCAGGTGCTGGTCCGTCCTCCACCCGTCCTAGAGCGGCATGTGGTCAGTTGTAGAAGCTGAGATCGCCAGGCCAGCTTTCGAGAGCGAGCGCAAAGGCCAAGAGCTCGGCCCGCGGCAGCGTCTGGGAGGGGCCCTCGAGGCCCGAGAGAATGCCTCCCCGGGGGACCCACTCCTCCAAGAGGCTCTTCATAGCGATGCAGGCGGCCCCCACCCTTCGGCGACGGGGGTCGTCACTGGACTTGCCACCCTACCCCTCGCCGAAGAGGGTGAGAGTTCCATCGCCGTTGGCACAGTCCTCCCAGTCCCGCCCAACCCAGCTCCACCCGCCGTCCCCTCCCAACGACGAGAAGACAGAGTGCGTGTCTGCGCGCGCAGGCAGGCTGCGGAGCCAATAGGCAGGAAAAGCCTCAGCCCCAGCAAGGGCTGAGGGAAGGAAGGCGTCAGAATCGGTGTAGTCCTCGTGGTCGTGGTTGCTCGGGCACAGCCAGATCCTGTGCATGAGCGTCTCGTCGGAGGCCCCGCAGCGCGGGCATGTCTTGCATGCCTGGTGCCCCGTCTCCACGAGGCGCTCCTTTGGCCATTGCGCCCCGCTTCGCTGTCTTGGCCCGCTTGACTGCCTTGGCTGTGACCCTCCTCTTGGCGCCGCCCACGTCGATGCCGAGGTCGACGGAAGTGTTGGCCACTTTGATAGAGTAGCCTTTTCTCTTGAGGCCGACGTGGGCCGCTAGGGCGATCGTCTGATTGGTCGTCTTTTGAGACGCTCGGAGGCCCACTTCCGTCATGCCAGTACAGAGGTCCGTCGCCACGCTACTAAGGTCGCTGATGGCCTGCTTCGTCTGCCCCTCCGTCCTGGCCACCGTGTCGTCTACGAAGGTCCACAAGCCCGCGTAGGTATAGTTGTGGTGGGCCCTCTGGAGGACCAGCCCGAGGTAGACCTTCGCCAGCTTGCCGCAGTTGCAGCTGCCCGCGACGATGGACCGCTGCGGGTCGACGATGTCGCTCACACAGCCGTGCATGCGCAGGTACCTGGGGGCCAGGTAGAGCTGCCGTTCCAGCGCCACGACGATCGGCGGGAACGTAACCGTGATGGCGGCGTCGAAGAGGAGCGCGTATCAGACCGAGTCGTAGAACTTCTCGACGTCCATGAGGATCGTGGCGAAGGCTATGCCGAACGCCGCTGCCGTCTCATCGAGGAGGGCCCTGACCAGCGCGGCCCTGAGAGCGCTGGAGCCCTTGATGGTGGTGTCCCAGAACTCCGCCAACTCCTCGGATCACTCGTCCGTGATGGTGGACCATATCTTGGCCCATGTCTTGGGGATCGCAGGAAGCATGCCCAAGATCCTTTCTCCGCCAGCGGGCTTGGACGTCATCGCTCCAACAGTGGCGCATAGCTGCTGCGGCCACAGGCCGCTCTGCTCCACCGCCTTGTAGATGTTGGCGAGCTCCTGGATGCGCTGTTGGGGGAGTCTCTGGATGTCCATGGGGCCGATATTGTCGACCCCCTCTCGACTCCTTGGGGTTGGCGACGCCGGCGATGGCCTGGATGTGCTGCGGCTCGATGATAGGGAGGGGGTCCTCCTTCGCAAGCTTGATGGCCCTCTCGTAAGCGTCGATGATCTACTTCTCGTTGTAGCGATCCGACTTCCAGATGTCGCGCCACGTGTCCGCAGCTGTGTTCATGACCAGGTATGGGTCGCCGACGGTAGTGCGACCCATCTTGTCCTCCAAGCGCTGTGTCTTGGGGTCCGTGACGTTACGATGGAGCTTACCGGGAGAGTCCTTCCAAGCAAGCTTCGCCCACGCAAGGTATCTCTTCCGAGCTCTGCCCGCTGCCCTGGCCATGGCCTTGTGCGTCCACGTCGCGGTGGTGGCGCAGAGGTAGTGGAGGTCGTCCTCGTTGCAGCACTCGAGGGTGGAGATCTGGGTCTTCCATTCGTCAATCCTTCGGATCTGTCTTGGTGCCGAAGTGGTTTTTCTGGGCCTCTGGGTTGTCCAGATCGTCGAGCTTGCTGAGGATGATCCTGTGGATCTGCTGGCGTGCCTTGAGATCTTTCGCATTCTTAATCAATGCTGTGCACCTCAGGATGAGCGTGCTGAAGTGTTACCACCACGTAGCCTCGCGGTCCTTGAGGTGCACCCTCCCAGGTGATGCCTTCATTGCCCGCTTGGTGGTTCTGTAGCCCTCAGCTCTGCCCTGGTACCTCCATCTCGTCGGCGGGGACGTGGTGTGTCTCCAGGAGGGCTATTTCCAGGGTCGCGACCCACTGGGTGTACGCTGAGTTGATCTGCAATGCAGCATTCTGCTTGTGGTGGTGGAAGACGTGGCCCCTGCCCTCCTTGGTGCTGACGCGGTTGCCCTCGAACCTCGGGTAGTTCCGCACCTGGTCGGCGGCCTTTTCCCATTCGGCCTCTGGGATGATGAAAGGCGTGTGGTCTTCCTTGGGCGTCCGCGCTGTTGCAGTACATGGCGTCGAACTCGTCGCGCAGGTGCTCTGGCAGCCTTTCCCTCCTGGTTCTCAGCGCCTCCGCCCGAGCCTTGGCCTACTGTCAGGGTCCGCGACCTTCTCAGGTCTGGCTCGGGCGGGGAGGGCTTTGGGAACCTTGACAGCTTTGTGCGCCCACCACTCGGCGTAGCTCCCCGTGATCTGGATGCCGCAGTGGGTATTCCAGGGCACGTCGTACACCGCCTGGATGTCCAGGCGCGTGGCCAAGTCCGCGCGCACGATCGCACAGTCGTACACGGAGCCATTGTCCCTGTCGCACGCGGCCTTGCACTCTGGGTCGCTGAGGACGGTGCCGTTCCAACTGGTGGGCCACGGCCTGTCATCCCACCAATTCGGTTCGTAGTTCCAGCCGGCGGGGAGGATCTACGGGTCGGTGAGCGGAGGCCAGGATGTGCCTGTTGGCGCCCTGATCGCGGAGCCCAGGTCGGAGGTAAGCCGATGCGACCACGACGTGGCCGCTCTTGGCATGGAGGACCGGCGGCGTAGAGCCCACGAGCGGCTGCTGGTTGTGTCGCTTGAGGTAGTGCTCCCTGCACCCCTCGAAGGTAGCGGCTGCGATCTTATGTCGGGTGAGAATCCGCTCGCCACCGTAGGTTCCTTTCTCGGATTTGTAGTTCGGGAGCGCTGGCGTAGTGGCCAGCTTCCAGCCGTCCATGGCGAGCTTCCCAATCTGTTCGTGGACACCGTCCGCGTCCACGTGGGTCTCGGCCAGCGCGATGGGGTGATACTTGTACCCGATGGTGCGGTAGAAGTTGGCGGCCTGTGGCCCCCACTAGGTGATGATGCCGGAAAGGATTTGGGCCTTGAGCTCCTCCTTGTCATTACCCCGAAGGCGGTGGAGTTGCTGCCGCCGCTGGTGCGGGCTGGGCACGTCCTTCGCCCTTGCCCTTGGTGGCGTGGGCCATTTGCTTGGCCCTCTCGGCGGTCGCGATGAGGTTAGCGGCAGTCCTTCGATCTTCTTCGGAGGGTTCAGCGTCGGCAGGAGCATCTTGTGCAGCAGGCTGTTGTGGCGCAGCAGGTGCAGCGGGCGATGCTGGGGATTGGCCGACGGTGGCTTGTCCTCCATGCTCGGCAGGAGGCTGTTGGTGACTGTCTTGTGCCCCTTCGGGTGGGGCGTGATCCATGAGAGCTGGCTGAGGGTCGGTCGCCTCTGTGCTCGCCTTCTTGCGCTTGGCGGGGTTGGTGCTCGACTCCCTGGCTTGTCGTAGAAGCTCTCGGATGTGTTCCTGTCCATCGTTGAGGGCTTGGACTTGCTGGTCGAGCTCAGCCTTCCACTTCTCCATCTGGTTCTTGGTGGCGTCGTCGTAGACGCTGAGGTCGTCCCACATCGTGCTGTCGATCTTGAAGGGGAGGAAGAGGATGAGGAGGAGGATAAGGAGGAGGAGGAGGAGGAGGAGGAGGAGGAGGAGGAGGAGGAGGAGGAGGAGGAGGAGGAGGAGAAGGAAGAGGAGCAGGAATGAGGTGCACAAGGCGTTAGCTGGAGGCCCTTGGAGTTCCCCCAGGGCCTCCAGAGGCTTCTGGAGGTCTAACCCTCAAGAAGGGTGCTAAACGTCCAAAGGCCTCGATCCTGCTCCCTGTCGTCGTCCCCCTCCCCCAGGTTTTCCAGGGAGGCTCTGGCGGTCTCTGGAACGCTCTTCCCGAGGCCCAGAGGGCTCCAGGTGCTCCGAAATGACGGCAAACTGTGCGAGCTTTGCCATGGACACTTCTGGCAATCACCGACCTTCCCCCCTAGGGAGGGGGGGGGGCACCCCCTGAGACCATGACCTCCGGCGCCGCCGTGGCGGCGGCGCTGCTACTGGCTGGCCTCGTCGACGCGCTCTCCCTGGACAAGGACCCCACGGTCCCTGGGGGACGGCCGGCGGGCCTTCGTCGCCGCCGTTGACGCTGATGCCGATGCCGGCGACGACGACATCAGCTCCCGCTCCCGCATCTGCCCTTGCCCCCTCTCCTGCTGTTTCAGCTGCCTCTGGCTGCTGCCGCTCTTGGTCCTCCTGCTGCTTGAGCTGCTGGTTCGACTGGCCCTCCTACCACACTGCGCCCCTTGGCTGCGGCATCCAGCGCGCGGGCTGCTGCTGCTGTTATGACAGTAGGGTAAGGGAAGTAAGACGACAGGAGGTGAAGCAGGAGGAGAAAACGCTCTGCTGGTCCCCTCCCCTCCCCCACCCTGCCTCGTTTCCTGGGCGGTGCCGCCTTGGACAAGGACCATGGTCTGAGACGGTCCTGGGGCAGTTAGATCTTCCTGCTCCGCCGCTTCGAGGAGCGACAGTTATGGCCAGAGGCAAACAGTGAATATATATATATATATATATATACAGGAGGATTACACAACAACATACGATGGGAGCGAACGTATGATACATGCTATGCAGGAGGCAGTTCTACATATCAGGAGTATCACATGAGGCGCAAGCTTCTAGTGCACCGTGCAAGTTCGAACGCTAGATGTGGTCTGCTATCAGTAGCGCGACTTGATCTGACATGACGTGGGCAGCATCAGAAAAAGAACAGGGCGGATATCAGAGTCTCTGCTGCTGCTGCTGCTGCTGCTGCTGCTGCTGCACCCGCCTGTGCATAAACTGCAGCAGCGAAAAATGGTACCAGGCCGCCGTGCACGATAGCGAGGGCCATCCGCGGGCTCCCCGGCGGGCTCATGGGCGCGGCCGTCTCCAGCACCCATGTTAGGATGTCCGTCATCAGACCGAGGGGCATCCACAGGCACCAAAAAGCTTCTTCACTCGCCGACGGCTTCGGCGTAAGTATCTTCGCACTCTTTTGGATATCGTCACTGCTCTTTCTCAAGGCATGTCAGAACCTGGTTGATCTCAGTCTTCTTGTCCCTGCCCGTCGTCTGGGATAGGTTATTCGAGGCCAGGACTTTGCTCAGCATGGCTTGCGTGATGCCTGGTTTGTCTGTCAGACGTTATATCCATTCAGCACGCTTGGTAGGGAAATCGTCGGTCGAGAGGTCAGGTCTGAGCTCCTGCGCGAGCCTGGTCATGATCGGCGTGATCTCGGAGCCTGGCACCTCGGCCCCCCGGGCTCGTCGGTGGCCGTGACTTCAGGGTCGCCTGGCATCCTGAGCTTGGCGAGCGGGCTGGCGGCTGGGCTTGCGGCACTCGCATGCGGCGGGGTCGCCTGTCCTGCGAACGGGTGTGTTTTTATCGTCCTGAGCAGCGTCATGAACTCCCGGTGCTCTTTCGACTGCTCGGTTTGAAGTTCTTCTCCTCGTGGCGCGCCGCTCGTTTCTGCTCACGGACTTGGTAAGCCTCGTTCATCTTCTTCATGTCCCGTAGCGCCGAGTGAACTCACGCAGCGCTGCCACTTCCACTGCTGCCACTGCTGTTGCCGCCGCCGAAGTAGCGGTTCGAGTTGAAGTTGTTGCCAAAGCCCCCATATCCTTTACAGCCACCATGGCCTTGTCCGCCTCCATCTTTCCGCATGGCTCGGCGGGTCGGCTGCGCAGGCGGGAGGAGGCCAGGGGTGCTTCCAGGCTGGAAGTCAGGCTGGCTAAGCCGCGTGCAAGAGTTGAGCCACGATGGGTACGGAGAGGGGGACACATTGGGCACGATACTCCTGCCTACTGGCTTCACCCGGATTCGCCCCGACATCATCACATCTCCTGCTGTCGCGCTTGAGCGCTGCCCCCAGCTTTTTTGCAGAAAGGGTTGTGGCGACGAGGCACAGATCGAAGTCCTTTCGCCACGGTTCTGGCTGGCCAGGCAAGTACAAGCGATTCAACCAGAAGGTCAATCGTGGCATCATGAGCATTCTGCGCTTTGGCCTTGCGCCATAGCATTGAACGTGATGATGCGTTCCCACAGTCGAGTGAAGAGAAATTGAGGAGTGAGGCATCTCGGGGCAGATCGAAGGTCTGGGAACTTGCCAAACTTGGGGATGGGTGTTCTTCCGTTAGCCCACTCCTCATTGGCATAGAGCGCTCTTCACCGTACCCCGTTCCCTTCAGCATGTAGGATCGTTTGTAGGTATTGTGTGGGGAGCACTGTATTCTCACATGTAAGGCCAACGTCTTGGGGGAAATCGGCTACAGAAAACCCTGGAGAAGCATAAGCTATCGTTCAACGTGAAGCAGTCCCTGGAGTATCCGTCCTGTGGTGAGTCCTGGATGGGCCAGGGCGCACTATTTAGCGAAGACGGGGTCACTATACAGCCGGCTGATCTGATGGTCCAAGTCCGCCAAGTTGGCGGGCTCGGAGAAGGAGCCGCCCTTCGGCCATCCACGCTTCCGATGGAACACCGCCTATTTCTCTTGGGGCAGTTTTGGCCAGCTCAGAGCGGGAACTCGTCAGCTCTTTTGCCTAGCCATACTGCGACGCTGAAGGCTCCCTGGTTTCCCGTGATCCTAGCCAATAGGTCCAAGGCCCGTTCTGTCCCCCGCTCCACTGACGCATCCTTAAAAGCTGTGACGCAGCAGCTTCAAGTACCGAGAGCGGGGTTTCCGTGCAATGACAGCGTGTACACTTTCTGACACAATATGGTGCGATAGCAAGAAGTGATTGCGTGTATGAATGAAGGATGGTGGCTCGTTAGGGGTCCAAACTGTCCAACTTGGGTCTCTGGAAAGCCTCTTAGCAATACGAAGTGCGCGCGCGGTAATGGATAAGAGCGAACGTTGTTTGGCGCGCGCGTTGCTGATCATGTCTCTGGTATGTGCATGTGCTTTCGTGCAAGCGAGTCTACCCGTGGCTGGATCCAGGCATTTGCCCTCGAGAGTGAGGTATTCTCGGGGAAGGTCCTCCACCTCAGCTTTAAGTGGGCTACGCCCCTTCTTAGGGACGAGCTCGGTATCCCGGCGACGCTGGGCACGACGCAACTGCTTAGCCGAAAGATTGGGTGCACTTTCGTAGTGCTTCAAATCTGTGAGGAAGCATTGATCAATCTGCCAGAGAGCAGTGCCATGGCACCCCGACTCTGCGTTGTGCGTCCTTATCCAAGCCAATCTGCACGCCTCTGGGAAGGTCGACGCCAATCTTGGCTGCACGAGTTCAATCGGTTCCTCTTCTTGCCAGTGGGGGTGTGTGAGGGAGGAGGGGTAGCGAGAAGAAAAGAAGGAGCGCAACAGAGAGAGGGGTGGACGAGCTGAGGTGAATTGGAGCGCTCGAAAGTGACGCACCACATGCGGTTCCAGCTCTCGCTACAAGTCGGTTCTAGATCGCTGCTTTGGGATACTCCAAATGTAGTGACACCATATCGCATCACTGGAAAGGCCCCTGCTAAGGATGGGGTCCTGGTCCTCATAAATCTAAAGTGTTCTTATCTGAAAAACAACTCGCTGCTGTGTGAATGTGTCTGCATCGCCCCCGTGTGTTCTATGTGGAAGATATGTTTGCAGAGCAACATGCTGTCGCCACAGACATGCATAAGATATAGTCGGGCCGTGGAGCGTGCAAAAGGCAGCAGGGCTGGTCTGTTACACGGGATTCTGAACTGATATCTGTATTTAGGTAAGATATATCCCGTGGCCGAACGTTTGTTGATTAGATTTCAACATGCGAGCCGTGTTTGGGAAGGCAAGCATCCGGTACGCACCCAAACATGCAACATGTAATCTGTGGCATACGCGTGCTCCCACGCACGTGCATAATCCAGGCGGGATTTTGGGCCAGCCAGGTAAAGTGCGAGTCACGTCCCCTATCGTACTGGAGCCGCCGCACGTCTCGCTCTTGTAAGTCATACTCGGTGTGCAACCAAGACACCAGGAGAGGGAATTATGTACATAGGGCTTCAGAACGCGCATATATG